CCCTGTAGAATTTGAAATTACTCCTTTATTGCTTTAACCTCTTAAAAGTGCAATACTGAATACGACTATTTGAGAAGTACAAGTAGTGAAATACTGTAGACTGAATAGACCATTTAGTTTTCCCTCCATAAGGGAGACTGCTTAGAATTCTCAGTCTTGGCCCATTGCCACTTCAAGTGCAGTTCCTTCCCCTTCAGACAAAACATCTGGTAGGATGTCTTTAGGTCAAAAGAACTTCAGTCTCGAGTTGGCCAGACTTTCATTGTAAGGTTGTCTGACTTTTGCTAGTAGACTGTCTCCCTTTAGAAAAACGTATAGTATAGGTATAGGTTATACTGTAAAAAGTTGTGACACCAAGCAAAAACCAAGTAGCAAACTAATGGTATGATTGAAACGCTGTCAAGTTTTTCCTATGAATTTTCAGGAAAAAAAACACGAACAGAAAATTGTTTCAAATTGCTGTATAGACCGACAGTGTCTCAAGTTTGTCAATATTTTGCGAGCAAGCACTCCAAAATGCTTGAAAACCATTAGAGGGTTAGGAAAAAACTGTGCTAACTTGGCAAAATGTCAGTACTGTAGAAGATGGCTTCACAAAGCAGAGACTGGAATGTCTGTATAAAGTTGACCCTGTCCTTTGTTGCACCTTGTATGTCAAGTTCAGAGTGATTATTTGGTGTCTTGGGTGTCAGTCTGTCTTGAGGGCCACTGTCGACTGTTGACGACTCCCAGGGCCAGACATGACTACAAACAGGACTGGTGTCCTGTGACTCCTGTGTCTGGTTGTTTGGGTTAGGGGGCATGCAGTGGGAATGTGTCTGGAAAATTCACCCCAGGTTGCTCCCAGCTGGTATGAGGGCAGACTGGGACAGGCTGAACACATTCTTGTAAGAAGGACACGTCAGCCTTAAAGACACCTCAGACAGCTTCAAGTTTAACTCAAGACATATCAGACAGGTTTAGCTCGAGATGTTTCAGGGAAATTTTGCTGTCAATGTTACGAGGGAAACACTATTTTGGATGAAGTTGGTGAAATTGCTAGCAGTTTCAAAATGAGAAGACATTCTTTAGGTGAACACAAATAAATATAGTGAAAATGAGTTTACAAAGTACTGTTCCATGGATTTTAGACTTCGATGTCTTCATTTGAGGCAGAGTCATTTTTCTTGAGGGGGTCTTAGTCAACCACATAGTAACCGCAAGTCCTCCTTAAGACCCCACCCTGTCTATAGGATAAAACCTTTACTGGAGGGGTTTTAAATGTCCTATTAAGTCACTTAATGTCACACTTAAGAGGTATGGAAGAATGGGGAAAAAGAGAGAAAATTGTACATTAATGTTACGATTTTTGTATGATATTATGGTGTTATTGTTACAGACAGTATTTTAGCCAGTGTTTACATTTTCAACACCTGGTCCATTTGAACGTGTGCAGCTTTGTTTTGGTGCTTGAGCGACTGTAAAGCTATCAGGTTGTGTCTGGTTTGGTTTACCGTTAGTAATGCCTTTGATGTTTGTTACACATTTTCATCACGGGAAGTTAGCAAGTGTTTAGTGTTGAAAAGTCTCCCAAGATTAAAGGAGCTGCCTATATTCAACCGTCCAAATACTGTCAAAATGTCTGAGATCTTGATTTTATCTGATGCAAAATATTTCGGGTTTACTGTAGTCAAGGACATATATAATGGCCTTGTTACAGTTTATGGCCTACTTGGAAAACAATTTCCTTTTGAAAATCAGGTAATACTAGTAGCCTGATTGAGTTGAGTTTGAAGACAATTTTGGGACCAATACCAATGAAAAACGTTAACAACTTTCAAAGCTGACGCAAGAATGATAGTATTAACGTAACACAGCACCTTTCAAGGCTAGAGAAGTGGAGATACAATGTATATCAGCTTAATTGAAAGATCTTTAGCCTTGAAAAACTCCTCCCTGTAATTATGAATGGCCTGAAGCATATGGTGATAAACGAAAGGTCATTGACTCCTATGTAAAAAGCCACGCTTTTGTCCTTTTGCCCCGAGAAGTACATATTGAGTTCAAATTTAGAATTCAGTTATGTAGTACACTAGTAAGCTAGTCTGAGATTCATAATCGCAGATCTGATTTGTTGCCACAATTAATTCCTAAGTTTGAATATCAGAAAATATTAGCCTTCTCTGTCTACTAGTACTTGTCCCGTGCAACATGTTTGTCTTAGAGACAGTAAAATAATTTTGTAACCATTTGTAAAATGAAATATATTTTGCAACATCAGAGACCTACAGACCTTAATATTTTTTTATGAACTGTCCTTACCTATAGGTATCTGGAGCAAGATAGAAACTAAATTTAGAAGTAGAGGGTCTGGTCCTGTTTTAGTGAGATCTAACTCATGTCAAAGGTCAGCAGATAGCAGACTACAAAAATTCCTTCCAGGTGAGGGTACTGCAGGACTTGTCTGTAGTGGAGTGGACAGACAGTTTCACAGAAATAGCTGCTAGTAATAGTAGGACTGCACTGTACTACTAGTATACATGTGTGTGGCACGTTGGAATGATAGTACAGACACGTGTAAATCAAAACCTCCTGTCTGTCTGGCACAAGTCAGTGCACATTTGAATTCTGATAAGAAAGACTGTTGGAACTTGGAAGTGTGGTTCTCATTAAATTTTAGGTGACTGAAGTAGGTCTAATGAGCCGAGAAAAGTCCAGAAATTCCAGCTATGACCACCTAAATAGATGGACTGGTCTTCTGTTCTCCATAATATCTTTTAAGTAAAAAGTTTCAGTTTAATAATTTTATGATCTCTGAAGGTTCGCACCATCCAGCAAAATCGGGTATTATATATGTACCATGTTTCTGGTAGCTCTGAATTGCTATAGCTACAATGTACACACTTTGAGCCTACACGTAAAAGAGTCTTATTCTGATTCTCGGATACAATATGGTGTTTGGTCACTCAAATCCCTCTGCTAATTCACAGCTTACAGTAGGAACAGCTGTTCTTTTCCTACTTAAGATCTGGGTTGAGTTTATTGATTTTCTTCCTATCCGCTTTTCTAAAGTTGAAAGATAAAGCTCCTTGTGCGTAAAGAAACAGCCGTCCACATTTCTATTGGTCCTGTTGGTTCATTCTTTTGTAGGGCCGTAGCTTTGTTGACAGGCTAAACAGGATACAGCACAAGTCATGGAAAGTTTCTTGACGTATTGTTTAAGATCCTGTTCAGATTAGAACCAGATTGGTTTGCTTGATCCGGGTTCCCAAAACCATTTATTTTTTCAGCAGCAGTATTTGCTACATCTATGTGTTCAAACTTAAACTTTCCCTACCTGAACTGAATTCTGTCAGTGGTTTTAGGCCGTTACAATCTTCTGGTAATAAGGTTTAAAGTTCAACAACCTGTTGTCATCAGGGAAGTTGACATCTTAAACCGTGAGTTTCCAAACTATACCTGGTAAATGTATAATACTCTAGTTAACATCCAACCTCAAATGGCCAGGTTTAAATTCTGTAGACAAGGCAATGACAGTGAAATACATGTACTGTAGTGTTTTATTCAAGTAAATGTATTGGGAGTCAATCAATCAAGGGAGATGCATAGCATACTAGTATTGGGAGTGGTTGGTTGAATTCAAAACTTGTGATCAGATGATCTTCATTTAGCTAATTGTCCGCTTGCAACAAAATCAAGTCATAGACATCAGCTGAAATTAGAGCCATTTTGAAGTTTAAATTGAGCCCATGGCACGTCTTTGATCAGTTTTACTACTATTTGACATGGAGCGACCTTTAATCAATATGCAGAGACCCACATGTGAGATGCTGGCATTTTGCCAAGTTTCCATGTGGCCGAATCACTGCTTGGGTGGGTGGAGGGATACAAGGTCGGAGTATACCATTATGTTGAAGAGGGACAAAGTGTTTTCCACTGAATTTTAATCTTTTTTACCAGGTAACTCAACCTAATGAGCAGTCCACATCAGTGTTTTATTCTTTATTCTTGTCCTTATCATTTATGTACCTATTTATGCCTATTGACCATTCTTTAAACCATATGGAGAGGGCCTGCAAGGGGGGTAGTGATTACGAATTACTCAAAATTTTCGCTGCCTATTACGAATTACGTTAAAGTCTCAGAGCTGATTACGACTTTACGATTTGCGGCTAATGTCCTATTACGAATTACGTTGATTTTTGCGGAGGCTGCCTACGAATTACGAAGTCTAAAACGGCCTGATTACGCCTTGCGAAAAAGGGCTTGCAGGCCCTCTATGGACAATTCCAATTCCCAATGTGCACCAATTTCCTGACAGGCTTGATGGAAGTGAACAGCTGGTTGTTCTATGGGAATCACACAGGTGGTAGCTACATGCAATATTGACTTGTTTATGGGAATTTAGGTTCATTTTGGTCAAGATGGTCCAGTTTTATCAATTCCCTTGTGTTTCTAACAGCTTGACAGGGTTTACATAGTGCTACAGCTGTTAATACCAGCAGGTATATGGCTGATTATCATCTCTTTAAGCTAGACGTATTTACTTTTCCATTAATATCTCAACTCTGCTCAAACCTTTTTAAGAGGGGCAAGGTCCTTTGGCCTGTATTAGATATGGTATATGCTATTTTGTTGGAACAAAATTGATTCCAAAGTCACTAAAGTGGCTATTATTTGTAACCCACCTCAAAATTAAGGGTACTAAAAGTCATTCACAATTCTCCTGTTCACATACAAGCCAAGTAACTAACCATGCAATTTTGATTGAAAAAAAAAATCCTAAGATTTTGGGGTATTCGGGTAGGGAATTTCATGAGCAGCCTTTTTAACTCCTGCTTCACCTATTGAGTCGGTTAGTCAAGCTTGCCTAAGCTTGATGTTTCTGACTGAGGGAAAAGAGATGCTGCTTCAGTGAGCGTTAGTTCAGTGCCCAGAAGGGTTCCTTGTAGCCCTATGCTGAGCAAAACTTTAAAAACCTAAAAAAGTAACCTTGTACGTGTCGTCTGTTGTTTCTCCAGCCTCCGACGGACCAGTTGGACGACCTTCCCTCTGATTGGCTGAATGGACTGCTGGATGAACCGCTGATCCCTGACAAGCCCCTGAATGACGTGTCTCTGGCACCGCCGCCACAGATCCAGGCTGAACACAGCTACTCCATGATGAGTGCCGCCGACCTGGCCATGGAGGAATCTCTGCGCATCAAGACTGAGGAAAACGGTAAGTTCTAAACTTCCAGTTAGGCAATAGACCTGATATCACATCTATAGATACCAGCTGTTAAGCTTGGCCTCAAAAATCTCTTAACAATCAAAGTCTTTACACAACTTTCCTGGATGGAGGCCTGGTGAACCCCATCTCGTATTAGCCTCAAAAACGCAGTAGAATCTGAAGGCTGCTGCCTTAAAATGAAAGAAGAAGTCAACTTTCTGTCATTTTTTAATGTAAGTTGAACCAACAATATCATATGCACTGACAAAAAAATGGCTGCTTGTTTCATATCGTAGGCTGGTACCAAAAAATAAAGGGACTCTTCACGCTTGTTTTGGGGCTATTTCAAATGCTTCAAGTATGAAATGATGATGAAAATGTGATAAGAAACGTCTATAAATGTTAATATCAGACATATTTCCTCAACCAGAATATTTTTGTTTTACCAAATTGTGTTTGATGCCTTTAAGCCTTTCTAACAGAGATGTTGTTCTTCTTCCTCCAGACTTTGACATGGCAGACTGGATGAACGCAGCGCGTATGGACCACGGGATGATGCACGAAGACGCGATGGACTACGACATGGGAAACACGGCCTACCACATGGCAGAGCAGATGGAGCCCCTGGACCTCATCAAGATCAAGACTGAACCGACCGATCCTGACCTGTACTTCCACACCGGCGCTGATGGTGAGTGGGGAAGCGTTACTGTAATTTCGTTAATGTTCACGGTAGCAAACGTTCACAGTCTGAGCAAAATGGGGGTGTTTTCTGGAACTATATGTTCACGGTGGCAACATGTGCAGAAAGAAGAAACTTGGCAAATTAATTATTTGTTAACGGTAAGGATAAGTTTGCGGTACAGAAGTGACCGCGAAAACCAAAAAATTCTGTCAAATAATGGAAAGATGGAAGCTGGCTAGAACACTGTTTGGTAGTTAATGTCTCAACAGTGATACCTACATCAGCCTCTGGCACTCTTGTTTTCAAATTTGTCTTCAATGTAAATAGAGAGTTTTACTATGTTAAGCTTTGCCATGTTTTTACTGGAAACAGAGTTAGAGACTGTAAGTGAAACGTATTCAGCCTCTGACTCCAAAGGTATTTACTGAACAAACCATTCCTTCATTCTATCAACAAAATTGGCACCCGCATTGTCTCTGTTATCCTAGAAATTAGTGCTGCTCATCTCATATTTGGTATGTACACAGGCTAGCTCTTAAGCTCTAGTGCCAACATGCCTGCAAGGAAATTTTACCAAAGGCCCCTGAATGTTGAAACTAGATAGCCTCTACCAGGCTTCAGGAAGAGGCTGAAAGAAATTAGCAAAAATAGGGCATTATATGTCTATCTGGCCAATTCCTTCTCCTTTCAGTCGCTTCCCAAAGCCTGAAAGAGGCTAAGAACTAGAGCCAAGGAGCTGGCCTGTGTAGGGCCTGAAAAAAGCCTGGCTTTCAGGCTAAAGTAGTTCTAAAGTTTTCTGATGGAGTCCCTATTTTTTTTGTAATTGGACATTTGTAGATTTGCAAAAAGCCTGGCATTTAGGCTTAAGTAAGTCTAAAGTTTTCTGCTTGAATGTCTAACTTTTTGTGATTGCACATTTGTAGATTTGGATGTCCAGATGCCTCCCACACCACCTAGCAGTGCCAGCAGTGACTCAGAAGGAGGCTCCAGTCCCCGCGCCATTCCGGACAGCCCGACACGCCCCACGTTCAGCAAACAGGCCGGCCAATCACACGACATGAGCGGAAAAATGTCGCCCAATCCTGGACAGAACCTGCTCACAAACTTCCAGGTGAGGGCTCGGTCATGTTTGTTGTTATAATGGTATTGATACCTTGGGATTTTAAAAGCAATTTCAATATTCTGGATGAGGAAATCTGTCTGATATTGAGATTTACTGACATTTTTTTGCACATTTTCGTCATCATTTGATGCTCTGAGCACTTGAAGTAGCCAAACAACAAGCTATTTGAAGCTTCTCCTTTTTTACTAATACTTTTGCAAAGCTTTTATTTTCTTTGCCACCATAGGGAAATTTGTAATAATTTTGCATATATATTTCTGTTATCTAGTCTACAGATGTACCAATGTTTTATGTTTCTTGCCCCACTAGGAAGTCAACAAATTGTTGTAGGACTACCCAGATGTTTTGAAGATTTTATAGATGACTAAATAAGTAAAATCTTGTGTTTTAAAACTCATTCTTGTATGTGAAGTAATATTCTTCCTTCTGTTCTGGTGACCGGTTCAGAAACTGCCGCCTTCCGGACCTTTGATCCTGACTGAAGAGGAAAAGAGAACGCTGATCTCCGAGGGTTACCCCATCCCGACCAAACTCCCACTCACCAAGGCAGAGGAAAAGTCACTCAAAAAAGTCCGCAGAAAAATCAAGAACAAGGTATGGAAGAATTAGTTTACTACTGTAATTTGTTAAAAGCAGATGGAAATGAGTAACTTTTTGCCAAATGTTGCTGTCAATTCATCAAGTCTTTTGTTCATTACTACTTTTGATATGCAGTTTTAAAAGAAAATCCACCCTATATTAGAAAGCTTATGCTTAGTTTTACCAAGGAGCTTTTATGAATTTTCCATCTTTTGCTTATTTTTTTATATTTTACTTCCAGATATCAGCACAGGAAAGCAGAAGAAAAAAGAAGGAGTATGTTGATCAGTTGGAAAAGAGGTGAGCAATTCTTTTTTCCTTTTTATAATTCTCAACATGGTGGAGCATTGATATTTTTAAATGAAAATGAATTTGTTTACACTAGAAAAGAGTCAAATACTGAAATAGGTACATTAGCTAAAATGGCTAGGTAATGAATCTGACTGAGACTGGTTTATTTTTCAGAGTGGAGAACTTCACACATGAAAACAATGAGTTGAGAAAGAAGGTCAACACACTAGAGTCCAGCAACAAGTAAGTCAAACTTGTGCAGATGATTTTGCCTCACTTGGTGGAATTTGAAGTATAAAGAAATTGAGCCACAAGAAATAGTCCACTAAGAAGACCACTCAGGAGACCGATAAAACTTGCAGTGAGTTTGACATGCTCTACTACTGTTCCCAGGACGTTACTGGTGCAGCTACAGAAGTTGCAGGCGCTGGTGAACAGAGTGCCGCGTCCCTGCAGGACCAACGCCACACAGACAGGAACCTGTCTCATGGTGGGTTTCTCCTCTAGACTCTTCCTCAGCCTTTTCCATTGACAATCTTGCTCTAGGCTGGGTACTGTTGGAGCAGACGTAATTTTACCAGGATGGTACTCAGGCAAATCTTGGTCTAAAAGGTCTTGCAATGGGTAGCCTCCACCAGGCCTAAAGCGTTAGTGATGGTAATTTTGGCAAAATGTGGTGGCCAAACTCCCTGGCAAATTATTCTTCCTTACCTTGTTTTGTTACCCTGTTGGAGACTATGTTGTTAGGGGTTTGAATCCTGGCTTGAGGTCCAGGCTTGATAAGCATTCGCACCATTGGGCTACTTTTTAGCAATGGTTGGTTTAGATGCTACAGATGTAATTTGCCTAATTGTACTGGAAAAATGTTGACCTTTCTGTGTATAACAACCCTTCGTCACGACAAGCATGCAGTACCTTACTACATCAAACATCTTATTATACACAAGCCCTGCTTACAAAACACAAAACTTCAAAGTCATTTAATGAATGGGCTTTCACTGTATGTACAGACAAGGAATTCCAGTGCACAAATCAAAATACCAGGCCTGTTTTATCTTAGAGTACAATTAACATTGTAGACATTTGTGGTGGCTTCACGCTTTATGCTTGCTGCAATGCACAAAGTGCTGTTATCAAACTACTCCTGCCAACATTTGGTGCTCAAAAATGGACCAGTCCTAAGGATTTTGCTTGCACCAAAATGGTAGCCTCTATCAGGCTTCAGAAGAGGCTGGAAAGAGTAGAAATTGGCCAAATAGACCGATAACATGCCAGGGGAGTGGGTCCGCTAAAGGAGTACATATACATTTGCTGCTCCTGAATTGTACTTCTTTAGCGGGCCAACTCCCCTGACATGTTATCTGTCTATCTATCTGTCATGTTGGCCAATTCTGAAGCCTGGAAGAGGCTACTAAAATGGCAGGAGTAGTTTGCTTGAAAGCTGCTATATAAGTGGTGGTGTTTGCGGACTGTTAGAGTGATCGGTGCTTTTGCCTCCCTCCCCGTCAGGTCTTGGTGGTCTTCTTCGCCATTTTCCTGGGCAGCTGGAGCCCCACCCTTTACATCCCCTCCATGTCCAGCTACCTGCCCACCCCCTTCACACACTCAGTGGTACAGTCCAACTCCGGACCAAACCATATCGGGTTAGCGGGGGTGCCACACTCCGGGGGCGGGGATGACTACACCACCCCTAACAGTAAGTAGTTTCTACCCAATAGACGTGGAAACTGTTCACAATGTGATATACATGTACACCAGCAAACCAAACAATACCTTTCTTCCCTTTCTTTTTGTTCATTTTGAAAAGCTATCTACAAGTTACACTTTTTTCCTTCAATTCAGATTATGAAGAGGTAACAAAACATTGCCATCAGCTGTCACTGTACATTCATGCCAGAAACATAAGTTTTTAAGTCATTCAAAAAAGACTATTTTCTGATTGCACACATATGCACTGAAACAGTTCATATGATTTTTGTCTGAAACAGCCATCTAAAACTTCAAAGTCTGGTACGTATTGATTCAAAATGGATTTCATAAGACACTATGGTGAAACGTCTGAAAGCTGTCTTCCTGTTTCACAACAAAAATCCCAGCTGTTCATCAGGAAACAGAAAGAAGGAAGGAAGCAGAAGAATTGTGCATTATACTGGCAGCAGCTGGTGTGAATACAAAAGTGCAACATGTTTGTTGTGCTTTTGTGTTAATTTAGCGCTTTTATCTTATCTTCTGGATATCTATTATCTTCTTTATTACACTATCAAGCTGTTGATATCAATTTTTATATCAGCTCAACCAAAATACTAGCAAGAGGAAACACGAACATTTACATATTTATCTAGTGTTTGGATTTCTGTACAAATGTTTGGGATCTCAAAACAAAGTATAACAGAATGCACTACAAATGCCAGTCAAGACTCAAGAGGCTTCAATACTGTGTAACAAAGTTCTTTATTCACAACGAAAGATTTTTAGGATACTAGTACATTTGTAGAGTAAGACTGCCTGTCACCTTCCAAAGGCAAATACTGATTAGCACTACAGCTAAGGGTCGCTGTTGCATGGTGTTAGGAATGTAAAAAAAACAAACCTTTTTTTTGTGAATAAAGAACTTTGCTGAACACACAGTCGCTTACATGTACCAACCAACTATCCACCTACATTTGTTGGCTTTAATACCGATGAAGAAAATGTCTTCAACTTCAGTGTCTAACCCAGTTTTTTTTGTTTGTTTGCAGGACATTCCTCTCGAGCCCTGTTTGCGTTCACGGAGGAGGTGAGCAGCGAAGACGTGTCCCACTTCGAGCAGGGCCTCGATCCCGTGCTGGAGAAGCTGTGGCACGAGCTTCCCGACGACGCGTACGCCCTCATCAACGAAACCGACGACAAACCGCTGGTCCTCTCCGCCGGCGGGGAAGACAACGACGCTGCGTTCGGAACCGGCGCGGTCCTGCACCCCGACATTGCCGCCGAGGTCTCCTCCAAGCTCATCCATCTGGAACACAGGGCTAACGCTACAGCTTAAGCACTGGAAAAGTGTTTGTAATATTCTTCATAACACTAATCATAAGGTTATAATAATACAAGTGGAGCGTCAGGATTAAAATTGTATGAATTCACGACGTCATACCTGCCTTAACTTCCAGTACAACTGTGTTACATACAAAGTCTCCACAGAAATGTAGCAAACGCTTTGACAATACATTACGCATTATTTGACAATGTTATAATTAGCCTTACCTTTTAAGTTTTACCGCTGTGCATTACTTAGCAATCACGTCATTCCATATATACGATGAGCGCTCGACGGCATTGTTTTTTGTGCAGGCCTCCGCAACTCAAAACGCTGAAAATTCTTAAGTAATGAATTTAGCTGTATCTTAAAAGGGGCCAAATTTTTTAGTAGCTGTATCAGTGTTCTGTATTATATTTATATTCAGGACGGATTTAGCTTGGAACCACATATGTTGGTAAGTTTATGTGGTAGATGGAACGGTAACTGGACTTCGAGATTGTCGAATCCTTATTAGCTGATAAAGACAAAATATACTGATAACAAAAAGTTATGAATGATAAAAAAAAGAGAACTATTTCTTTTGATTGTAATGATAACCGTTGTCACCCTTTTTATGTGGGTGATGTGGAAGATTTGTGTTTGGGTAAGATAGTTTCTGTTCGGTAAGAGTCTATTTTGTTAGGTTGAGATGGACCGTTTTGTCATTAATGTAGTAAGTGACACACGCATCGGACTTGAAGATCACAGAACTTCATGAAATACACAAGAGATCTAGATGTAGTTGGACGAAAATGGTGACATATTTTAAACCTTCGTATGGAAAATTGGTTTAAAGGTCTGACGTTAAAAACACACTCCTGCTTAGCGAAGGAGGTAGAATACATCACATCTTGTGTTGGTCTTGATGAGTGCTGTGTCAGAGCTCTATTTTCTTGAAATGCAAAGAAAAATACTTGTACAGCACAAAATTCCTGCAGAATAAAATATATATGGAATAAATATCAAAGTTTCATCACTCTTTGTGTGTGTGTGTGTGTGTGTGTGTGTGTGTGTGTGTGTTGTGTATGCATGTGTTTGTGTGTGTGTGTGTGTGTGTGTGTGTGTGTGTGTGTGTGTGTAAACCCTAGATGCCACCCTTGTTACTTGGACATGAAACAACCAAACTCACAAGTCAGCCACCCAAAACAATACTGCCCTACCCTGAAGTAAAAATGCAGTTTAAGGGCTTTGATCATAGTCTGTATACATAGTATTGCGTGCATGCTACATGAAAGATGGCTACATTTTGATAAAACCATAATTTACTGCCTCACAACTTAGTGGCAGATCATTTGTTGTGACAGAAACGAGCTTAGAAAAACAAAGGTTTAGCCTCCCAATATCTGCTTTGAGATTAGATAGACGTCAAATATGCCAACACGTATTAAAAGCCAGGTTTCGAGTTTGTATGCAGCAAGGCGTCCAAATCCTCTGCACGTCCGCTACGTTCCGCTAGAGGGCAGTATTGTGCAGTGCACAACTGCAAAAGGGCTCATCATCATCATCAACATGGCCGCGTACGGGTAAAAAAAAGTCGTCTGCTACAGAACGTGTGAGTACTTTTCAGCAAAATAAGACGCTACTCAGCAAGATATTCCAGCACAGTTAAGGTTGATTGTGCTATGGACAGGTAAATCGTATGCACACCCCGACCAATCTAATCTGGACATTGCTCCGAAATTGGTACATTCCTCACAAAATCGGACATTATTCCTCCAGGTTTGAGCGTACACTCCTCCAGGTGAGCGGACGTTCCTCCAGTTTTGAGCGTACATTCCTCCATTCCACGGGCCGGCGGGGGTGTCGGCGAAATATCCAATCACGCGGAGAAGTGTACCGATTTTGGAGGAATGTACGCTCAAAACTGGAGGAACGTCCGCTCACCTGGAGGAGTGTACGCTCAAACATTGAGGAATGTCCGATTTTGTGAGGAATGTACCAATTTCGGAGCAATGTCCAGATTAGATTGGTCGGGGTGATGCCGGGTGTGTTGTCATGACCTGTTACACATCCTAAACTGAACTTTCGAAACTCACAGCTCTGAGTGGGGGAGCGGGCTACACACGTATCTTATTTATTCAAATAGCTGACATATTAGCAGCTGGAACAAAGCTGCTATGAACTTCAGATTTGGGTTGCAGACAGTTGCGGCGAGTTTCAGACATGAGCTGGCCTGCTGTGAGACTGTGTACCGGGACGTCCATGCCACTGTTAGGTCTGGGCACATGGAAGGTATGTTTTTTGTTTGTTGTGCATAAGGCCACACCAATTTAATTTCTTGGTTAACAGATTTTTCTAGAAAAATAATGGAGCAGGCGGGTGAAAAAAAAATAAAAACAGGCCTAGGCATCCTATTATAGCCCAAAATGGTACGATAGGAGCCATGAAGTCAACACACTAGGCTGGTTCAAAATTTAAACAATTAATTTTGAACTTTTAATGATACCACTGCATTGAAAGATGGAATAACTGTAACAACCAGGAAGAAAAGGACTGTTTTCAACTGTTCAGGGCAAAATATGAGCATTTTGCAGATGATTCTGAATAATTTTTATTTGCAAATCAGAAAAAAATGTAGCAGGCGAATCCGTTAACCAAGAAATTAAATTGGTTTGGCCTAACAAGACATTGAAATTGCACATAGGGGTGTTGGAACATAGTAGCCTGGTTACCAAACCTATTATAGCTCCCGAGTTATATATGGACCCTGGTGATATTATGGACACAGATGTGTACATCCTCTCCGCAAATAGGAGAGGATGTAGAACTCGGGAGCTATAATAGGTTTGGTAACCAGGCTAGGAACATAGGGGTGTCTGAACATGAAGGGCGTGGGAATATAGGAGAGTTGGAACTCTATAGGGATGTCTGAACATAGGGGTGTTGGAATATATGAATGGATGAACTTTATTGCTCAACAATCCTACAAGGTACAATGTATGGCAGTAATACAACAATACTACAAAACTTTACTACAAACTACTATCAAAACAGTATTTGAGTTACCATATGGTCATGTATTGATGATGTGTTCTCGCTTATGGAATAAAATGTACAAAAATTGGCCTAACTGTTACATAAGCAGATATGGTAGTTGGACATGACAATAATTCATGGAATGTATCATACTGTGTACCAGATTGGGTGAATTTATATGTGTTTTGGAACTTAACACACATTGAGTGTGTATGAACATAGTGGTGTTGGAACATAGTGGCATTAGAACATTGCATTCAGGGGTGAAACCTAATACATGTATTACAAGTAAGTAGGATGTAAGTTAAAAGTTACATGTAAGTTGGATGTTTTTGATGTAAAATTTTCCAGGCTCGAGAGAATGAATGTTACCAGGCCGTGAAAACAGCCCTCAACATGGGGTACCGACTCATCGACACTGCAGAATCCTACGAAAACGAGAAGGAAATTGGCCAAGCTCTCCGGGAGAACTTTGCTGCCGGGCTAAAGAGGGAGGAAGTATTTGTCACAACCAAGGTGTGAAAAATCATGACTATAACATGTCCAGAATGCAAGATATCTCAAGTAGCTGTACTACCTTAGAAAGCTGCTAGGAGGTCTATAATATGATCAGTTAATCAGATGAGATCTTTTTGAAGAAGAGACAGAGTGGGTCTCAAAAGCTTCCCAAACTTTTTTCATTGTGTGTATTGTTTAGAATGTCAAAAGTATCATTAGTTCATTTTGCCTACATACAATAACCTACAAAACAAAATATCAACTTCTCAAGTTATGCTGTTTACAGAGAAACATATTTATACCAATTTCATCCTGTTCATATAATACTTCTATCTTCATGCTCATGATTTGGGACAACGTCATTAAAATAATTTTTTGTTTTTCAGTTGTGGCTTACCAGATTTCATCCCGATGACGTCCTCCCAGCCTGTCAGAGGAGCCTAAGCAACCTGGGACTAGACTATCTGGACCTGTACCTCATGCACTGTCCTGTAGCCTGGGCTGTATGTTCACATTCAGTCTTGTCTAAATCAGCATTTATGATCCAAATAATATTCAATGACCTGCCCAGAAGTGTAATAGAGTATCATAAGGCCTGGTAATTTCTTGAAAATTGCCAACTTTTGTAAAGTTGCTATAACCACCTCAAAAATTGCCTGGTTCCACTTGGCAATTTATTCAATGGTTATAGCAGTTTCTTCCTCCTCTTCTGTTCCAAACACTAACCTCTGACCTGGCCAATGACATGATTTGTTGACGTCTGTCACCATGGTGCCTGGTGTTGAGTTACATAATGTTGCAATTTCATGGTCTGCTCTACTCCTGTTACCATATACTCGTAGTACATGTATGTGAATGTGTTAAAGTAAAAATTAACAGAGCAGACCATGTCCATAGGTAAACATTATACATTTGCTTTGCGAATGTTACTTCTCTAGTTATTATATACATTTTTGTAGCCTGTTCAAACTTAAATGACATAGCATACTTAACAACCATTCTCCATAGTGTAATACAAGGTCTGCATTTTTAGGCTTGGCATCAATGATATTATACAATCTAAAAATTTCTTCACTGCACTAGGGACTGATTTGGTTTGATGTTGTTTACTTAACATGTTGTTGTTGTTTTTTGTTTACAGAGAGGAGACAACTTATATCCTGTAGATGACAACGGACTGCCTGTCACACTTGACATCCACTATATGGAAACCTGGAAGGTCATATCAATAATAAATCAATAACAATTAATAACTCATATTAACTCATAATAACATTATTTACGGATCATCAATACATGTAAGTCAATAAATCAATAATTAATAATTAATTAGTAATGGACTGTTGATTGTATGTGATTAAAAATTGATTGCATAAGATTATGAGTCAATTACAATCATAATTATAATTATGCTATATTACTTTTTTATTAGGCGTGAATGCTTGATAAAAAATCTATTTTATGCACTTATTTATGATGTCCTTTTCTTTCCTTTTCCAGGCAATGGAAAAGTTGGTGGATGCAGGACTGGTGAAGGCCATTGGTGTGTCCAACTTCAACATCTCGCAGACGAAGGAGGTTCTGACCAATGGGAGGATCAAACCAGTTGTCAATCAAGTAAGGGTTATACTATAGCGCCTCCTAGCGTTTCTCTGGTGTATAACATCAATTTGTAGGTTTGCTAAGAAAGTAAATGTAAAACATTACACGACTTTCCTCACTTAACTCACTTGAAAATGAGTATTGTCTGTCCTGTATTTGTTCCTATGTGTGGGACACAACACCAGCAACAGCTGCCTGTGTCCCACGTGTATTGTACTAGTATTGTTACAATTTCAATAGAGCAAATCAAATCAAACTGGAAGAACAACATGAGGAAAAAGTCTGTACAGTTTTTTTAGGAAAATTACTGGATAACTAGGTTATCAAATCATTTCATCCATGAAGCTAACTTGTTGTTTGTTGTCTTCAGGTCGAGTCTCACCCGTATGTTGGTTGCCACTGGTTACTGGAATACTGCAGGGCTAATGATATCGTAGTGACGGCCTACTGTCCATTAGCAAGACCAGGGTAAGATTTAGGAATTTTTGACATTTTGTAGTGTGTTAAGCCCTATGTTACATTTTGGCCTTAGGGCTCCTGGTGGACATATGAAAAGTGATGTTAGGTTTAGTATGCATTATATGTTTACCTTTGTAGAATGAAAATATATAGTTTTTGCTCTGTTAATTCTCTTCTTCAAACAAATAAGGTCAATGACATGCACCAGACGTCTGTCACCATGGTAACTGGTGCTGTAGCAGACACCCTGTGGTGTTGGATTACATTATGTAGCAAGTGGCAGGGCAGAGATTGAGGAGCTGATCACCATATAATATTATATGTCAATGTGTTTAGTAAAGAGTAAACAGAGCAGTAGTTTGTTTAGCTGTATACCATTTCAATGTGAAGGTAAGGCCACACCAATTTAATTTGTTGGTTCTCGGATTTTTTCAGAAAAAATATGAAGCGACAGGGCGAAAAAAAATAAAATAAAAACAGGTCTAGGCATCCTATTATAGCCCCAAATGCTACAATATGAGCCATGAAGTCAACAAAAAAGGCTGGGTTGAAATTTAAAGTATAAATTTTGAACTTTTAATCAAACCACTGCATTGATAGATGGAAAAAACTGTAACAACTAGGAAGAAAAGGAATTTCCTCAACTGTTGGGGGCAAAATATGAGCATTTTTGAGTTGATTCAGAACCAGAATCTTTTTTTTTTTTTTTTGCAAATCAGAAAAAAATGAAGAGGCGAATCCGAGAACCAACAAATTAAATTGGTGTGGCCTAAGCATTATGCATTTGCTTTGCAAATGTTACCATTCTAGTTCTTTCTGTTTTCAGATCGAAGGAGGCAAAAGATCATGGAGTAGACATGCTTTTGCAAGACCCAGTAATAGTGGAGATCAGTAAAAAACATGGGAAGACACCAGCACAGGTGACTTTTTAATATGGTTCTCTCTAAAAGAATCATTCATTCATTCATTAGTTTGCACTGTTATTAAACAGTAACTAGCATTTCATTCACTTGTTATTTACTTGTTCTTTCATTCCTTCCTTGTTCATTCAGTCCTTCATTCATTCCATTATTCCTTCATTCATTTCATCCTTCCTTCCTTCATTTATTCTGACAGGTGTGCCTTAAGTGGCAGGTGCAGAGGAATGTGGTTGTTGTTCCTAAGAGTGTCAATCCTGCAAGGATACAAGAGAACTCCCAGGTGAGCTATGGCAGGTGAAAAATGGCAATATGGCCTTATTGCTAAGGTATATGACTCAGACTCAGAATCTGAAGGTTCTGGGTTCGAATCCCTAGCAGTCCACGGACATTGTCTTGGATAGGACCTAAAGCTGAAGCCCTGTGTTTCAGGAGAACCACGCCTGAAGCATGTTAAAGATCCCACCACACTATAACTGTGAAAAGAGTAGAGGAAAGCAAACCTTCCAGATACATGTCATAACAGTAAATAGATTTGTGTATAGTGTCACAACAGTGAATGTCCTAAGTACAAATGTATTTCTTTTCTTCTCCCTTGACAGCTTTTTGACTTTGAGCTGAGTGAAGATGACATGTCAGCCATTAACCAGCTTGACAGGAATGCACGAGTTGTTTGGTTTCTCAGGTAAGTAACATTTCTTGTTACAGTAGCAAACTGCTAGTCAATGATGGGAACACTCCTATCTTCCAAAAATCCCACATTCCTGCACCTTTATATGTTTTGACATAAAATAGTCTCAAGAAGCATATCGACAAACCATACTGCGCCTGTGCCAAACCCGGATTTTTCACGTCCGGGTTTGGTACAGGCGTCGGGTGGTGTAGTGGTAGATCATTCGACCGTGAACCGGGAGACCCGGGTTCGATCCCGAGTCGTACCCGGGGCATGTCTGGACATGCGCCCGACTTTGTGTCCTTGGTAAAGGCACTTAACACGAATTTCCTCACTCCACCCAGGTGTGAATGGGTACCTAACTTCGGTTGGGGAAAGCCGTATTGAGGTCACCTTGTGGCGCCGAATGGCAGCCGCACAGACCCTTGCGACAGTTCCACAAAAAAAAAATTGTGAAACAAATATGTGTATCATGTGTATTATTTGATTGTTGTAATTGTTGTGATTTGTATTATGTGATACCCTGCATCAATTCTGCCGTATAAGGCCGCGACTGCACGGGTACTGTTTGGACCATAAAAACCATTTATTTATTCAGCTTTCTATGAATGCTTGGTCAATTTTTCATCATGATACATGATGCCTGAATTCTGCATTTTCTGGATCTAATTTACATTAGATATTTATAAAATTCAGGTTAATCTTTATTAGCACTTTATGTATGGCAAATATCATTTGGTAGCATTATCATTTAATTGATAGATTAAGTGATTGTAATTTTTGCTGTTGTGTGCCTGTGTAAATTTTGCCTAAAATTCTGACTACTGTCCACCATGTGAAACTATAATGTTACATGGGTGCATTGGAACAAAAATGCAATATACATATGCTGTTCCTTTTCCTCTTTTTCAGGTGTAAAACACATCCACACTGGCCCTTTGGTGAAGAATTTTAGGCCACGGTACCATGGACTCAGTGTGTGGACAACATGAACCACCCAGCACATCCGTAGAACATACTGCGCCAGCGCAAAACCCAATTTTTTACGGTTTTCATTGGATTTTTTTGTCTGCATCAGAATTTTGCCTGTTGCAGACAATATTTTTTCCAACATAACATTTGGAAACCACAGACGGAGTGTTAACATTATATGCTTGAATACAACCTTACATGAGACGCTTGCTGAAGTGCTATGTACAACATTACAGGTTTGCGCAGGTGCAGTACGTTCTGCTGACAACATGAACCACCCATCCTCCCATGGCAGGGGCAGCGGCTCCGAATTCCTTCTCCACCCCTTACCCCTGCCGAATAAGCCCGCATCTTCTACTCGGCGACCCCAGGAATATTAATATTTTCATGAGCTTGCCTTATTTGGCATGACCCCATTTCTGACTTGGGCGGGGACGGGACGTCACCCTCCCCGCCGGCGACTCCGCCGCCGCCCGGTGACTAGCCCGTTGGGGAGGCCGTGCGGGGCAAAGTCACCGAGCCGCCCCCTCTTTTCTCCGCGCCGACACCTTCCCCGTGCTCGGCGGGATCCGCGCGCAGCCTCCAGCACACGCTAGCGCCCCGCTGACGCCCGCAGCGGCCTGCATCGCAAAAGTTCTCTTCCCAAGACGACGCCATGTTTGTTTTTATTTGTCACTGAACAGCCGATGTAAGAGCCGACATGATTGGTTCCGATAGCTAGCGCAGCTCATAAATATTTAATGTAAAGTGCATTGAAGATTTTCTCTGTGATACGTGATTGGCTGAGAGTGTGTCCCTGGAATCGGGTCGCCGAGTAGAAGATGCGGGCTTATTCGGCAGGGGTAAGGGGTGGAGAAGGAATTCGGAGCCACTGCCCCTGCCATGGGAGGATGGAACCACCCAGTCTTTTACAAACAGTATCTGAGCTTCATAACTGATTCCAATGTGTGCTATTTGCTGCTAGTGAAATGTACAAAATGAACTGTCCCTCTTTTGTTGAATTAATGTCTTTTGTATGAAAGAATGTTATAAAATGATGTAACTTTTCTATTTCAGTATTTTTTTAAAAATGAGTTTGCTCAATGGAAGGCAAGAAGGCTACGTCTGGGCACTGAAGTTAGTGGCTTCATCCTTTTTGAGCTGGACTGAATGTCAGGATATGACTTATCAATAATCATGCAAATTAGGAGATATGAGAATTATAATCTATTTTGTCATGAAATAGAGCAATATTAATAAGAAAGCTTATAAGACCGTTAAGATCCTAAAATAACAAATAGAATCATGGAAAAATTGTTGCATAAATATCTTCTATTGTGACTCAAAATAAAATTTTACTTCTCAACTATTTTTATGTTATTTGTTGTATTGGTTCAAGCAGATAGGAAAGTCGTGAAGTTAAAATCACTTGGATCTTGTTCGTTGCTGTGTACATATATTTAAAGTTATGTACGGACAAGATATATTAAATTAAGTGTACCTCAAATGCCATCATCACTTGTTCCAGAGCACAAGAGCTACCTACCATCCAAAACTCATGACCCTAGCATATCCAGAGCATGAGATATCAAAACAATATGTAGGGTATGGGTAGAATACCAAAACCATAAAGTCTACCGGTATATGTTTTTGTTTTTTCATATCTTCGTCTTTGGCTTTCGAAGACTTTGCTCAGGGCTCGAAATACATTTTTCAGGCAAGTTGTCCTGATACAAATAGCAAGAAAATATGAAATTAAGACTGAGCTTTAACTTCCAACACTAGATACAGAATTGGGACTTTATTTCATAATGATTTGTACCAACACAAGAAAATGTGATTTTAATATTTCAAGGAATGTTTGGCTATGTTGTGATGGCGTTCAGCACCAAGGACAGGCATTCCACTATCCAGATATGGTGACCAGGGACAAGACTGTTTGGCTGTTTCTAGCCAGTGTTCAGGAAAAGGAATGTTTGGCTATGTGTGGATGGCGTTCAGCACCAAGGACAGGCATTGCACTACTAATTTTGAACTGGTTAACTATTACATTTTGACATGCCCTTCTATTTCCCTTTCAAAAGAGTGTTGGCATCAATGTTCTACCCAGTGGGACGCCACAGTTTCTGTTTAAATGTTACAAAAAGAAAGATTAAAAAGACAAAACCCGAGTTTCCAATGAGAAATGATTTCATTATCTTTATTCAAATTGTTGGCTGAGGACTAACAGGTGGGAACTACCCATGACGCCATGCGGACTCAGAAGTTCCAAGATGGCGGCTGAACATGGAGCGGGAGAAACTTCTGCTAAAACTTCGTCCCTGGAAGACGAGAAACGTCTGTTTTATCTGGTGAGTAGTACGTAACTTTGTTCTCTGTATTCTTGTGACCGCTTTTGAACAGTCTTTCCTGGAAAGACGCCGTAACTCCACAGAAATATAAGTCACAGTAGGCCATGCGGACTCAGAAGTTCCAAGATGGCGGCTGAACATGAGCGGGAGAAATTTCTCCTAAAACTTCGTCCCTGGAAGACGAGAAACGTCTGTTTTAGCTGGTGAGTAGTACGTAACTTTGTTCTCTGTATTCTTGTGACCACTTTTGAACAGTCTTGTGCGGAAAGACGCCGTAACACCACAGAAATATAAGTCACAGTAGGCCATGCGGACTCAGAAGTTCCAAGATGGCGGCTGAACATGGAGCGGGAGAAACCTCCTAAAACTTCGTCCTTGGAAGACGAGAAACGTCTGTTTTAGGAAGTGAGTTGTGCGTAACTTTGTTCTCTGTATCCTTGTGACCACTTTGGAACAGTCTTTCCTGGAAAGACGCCGTAACACCACAGAAATATGACCGAGTTTTTAAAGCATTGTGGTGTGGCATACACGAGGGCGCACCTGGACTAGATTGATTTGCATAAAAATAACACTCATGGTGACGAATTTTATTTTAATTTTTATGCTTCGTCCTGTAACTTGATATAAACTTCGTTACCAAATTAATATTGCTGACATTCTACTCTATTATCTTACTGTAGGTAATATTTTTTATTTTGCCTCTTTAAAATTGAATTTTTGTCCTGCAGTAAATATCACTGTGAATGTTTTTGATAACTCGACATTATTGACGTTTATCTATGGCCTTTTCAAGTGAAAATGGTTTCAGAACGTCACAAGTACTTTTTATGAACAGTTCTTTACTTCTGTTTTAACAGTTTATAAATAATATAACTTTATATATAATGTGTGAATTTCTTGAACAACTTTCGAACGGATTCTCTTTTGAATGCTTACCTTTTCTATTTGATTATGTAACCTGAATACAATGGATAATATTCTCTTGACCACTTTATTTCTTCAATAATGAGTGTTTGACAAAGTGCTTATTATATTTCAGTCCATACCATGGTATGGATGAAATATATTGTGTTCTCTGATGTTTCTTCTCCTCCTCCTTCTCCTCCTGCCAAACACTCAAAGGGATTCAACTCCGCCATCATTCAGCCAAATGACTTGAAATTTGGCATGGAGGTAGAGTGGGCGAATACCCCCAGGCGTTTTTTTCATTTTTTTGATACATGCCTTTGAAAAATTTTTATGAAGGTTTTTTGGGGCATTTTTTGGCAAAAAATGGATTTTTGGATCCTGAGCCCTGGTTTTACAACCAAATGATCTGAAATTCGGTATAAAGGTACCTTGAAGATGTGTCTTCAGAATAGCAGTCACATATTTGGCATACACCACTTCCAAATGACTCATTTGGGGGACTTTAATGGCTATTTTCAGCAAAAAAAAGGCCAAAAGTGCTATACCCGTTCCATGTTCTATCTAAAGAATGGCCTGTTCCATCTGCCCTTGGCCATGGAACATGTGTTCCATAGCGGGTTACCTGAGGTCACATTGCACGTAAGTCTTGCGTAATGACCCACACATTCAATTTTATGTGCCTAAGACCTTCAAAATGTATCAAATCTCATCATTGTTAGTATTTGCATACCTGTAATAAGACTGGTAAAGCTTTCGAGATTCAATGTGCTTGCTCTTGCATCTTTGTTCTCAATTACATAGCTACTATATAATTCATTTATTTGAGAATCTTTGCCAGTTTTACACTGGGGTAAGTTTGGAATAGTCCACTTTTGCGTGGGAGGGAGATGGACTGAAATATGCTGTATTTGCTCCCAAGCAAATGTCGGCCTCTCTAGTATACAATGTATGTTCTGACAACTTTGGATGTACATAGATACACTACTAGTAGGTAAAGTCATTGTATGGATACCTGATGTACTGATGATTATAAAATGCAGGCCTCAAAATTAACATTTTCTCCTATTGTCCGAGCACTGTCCCAAAAATAAATTTCAATTGTCCCAAAGTGAGGATGAACTGTAAAAACCTGCTTTTCAGGAAGTGAACTTGAAGTCAGCTTTATTTTGCTCAAGTTCTGACTTCCAGGCGCGCTATAATTGCAGACTAAATTGAAAATTCTGGGGAGCTTTTTCCGGAGCCAAACAAAAGAAGGGCTGACATTCTGGTGTTTATTATTTTTCTATTGTCCCAAAAATGTCCCGAATAAATGAGTTGTATTTTTAGTTGTCCCGGCTTAAATTTTAGTGGTCACTGGCCATCGGGACACTGTTAATTTCGAGCCCTGAAAATGGATTTACTTTGTTGTATTTATTTATTTTACATAAAATTTTGTCTTTTAGTTTTACAGGAATTCAGAATCTTGTCAAATCACATTGTATTTTGTTCTGTCAACATGATCTGTGCTTGAAAATGAAATGTGTTTCATGTGTTGTTACTGTTTTAGACTGTGGTACATTGCTAATTGCTTCAGATGCTGTATGTTTGTTGGCTATGATAGTACAATGTTGTATCTGGCAATGTTCTGTCAACATGTGTATGAACTTGCCATATGGATTGTTTTGATGTTATGTGAGATGAATTTTTATGTGATTGTTGTTTGGTCATGATACATCCTGTTGACATTTGACTGAATGTTAAGTAATTTTGTGTTCTTCTTTTATCCCACTAAATAAGCATTACCGGTATACTCTATATAATATGACTTGTTCTCGGTTTAGAACTGTAACAAATGTTGTGAATATGACAATGTATGATGTATTTTGTTTCATGACGTGTATGTTCTGTGCATTGATACTTTTAGTGAGTAAATTTGGTCTGAATGTGTATTTCTCTTACATCCTAGGTTTGGGAAGCTCATATTGTATTCCTGACCATGTGGGACCTGTCCATGCTCCTGTATGTGCCGTGGGACCTGTCAGCTATTCTGTGTACCAGTCTATATTCCTGGAGGACCTGCCTGTGCTTCTGAGGGACCTGTCATCAGCTACAAGACAAGAGAACATCGGACTTGACTGTGAGTTTGCTTTATTTATAGAACTCTTTCAAAAATGGGGTCTGCATGCCGCAATGCGTAATTGGGCGTCTAAGTTTTGCATGATGCGAAGCCGG